CCTGATGGAACTCGATTTGATCGAACTCTCGGATAGCACTCTGTACAGCATCTTTGTACGACTTCATACGTTCTTCCTTGGGAGAATATTGCCCTGTCACTTGATTGATTACAAGCTGTGAGTCACTAAAAACTTTTAAACATCGTACCTGTAGCTGCTTAGCTAGCCGAAGTCCGGCGAGCATTGCCTCATACTCGGCCTCGTTATTAGTAGATGGGAAATCTAGCAAAATTGACTGCTGCAGCTTGGTACCCTCGGGTGTTGTGATGTCAATACCGGCCCCTGCCCTTTTCCGGTTGGAAGAGCCATCAACTCGTAACTCCCAGTATGGCTCTTGAAGTGTCAGTTCCTCAGGTTAATCTTCGTACTCTAGTAGGAAATCCGCTACCGACTGCCCCTTGTGAGATACCTTCGGTGCATAGGTGATGTCAAAAGAGCTAAGTTCAATAGCCCATTTTGTAATTCGACCAGACAGGTCTGGTTTCGCTAGGATAGCCCGTATAGGGTGATTTGTAAGTACCACTATGCTGTGAGACTCGAAGTAATGTCGAAGTTTCCTCTTGGCATAAATTAACGCCAGGATTACCTTTTCTGTCTTGCTGTACCGTGTCTCAGCATCCGTCATCGTTTTGCTTGTGTAAAAGACTGGGTGCTGAACCTTGTCTCCTTCTTTGATCAACACTGCACTTGTTGTTACAGCTGATACTGCCAGGTACAAGATGAGAGTGCCTCCGGGCGTTGGAGCAGAAAGGATTGGGGGTTTTGTCATGTAGCTTTTCAAATGATTGAGAGCTTCCTGCTGCTGAGGTCCCCACATATCTTTGTTTTTGGATCGAATAGTATCAAAGAAAGGTTTATACTTATCAGATAATCGGGATATGAACCGGCTGAGAGCTGCAATTCGGCCAGTTAGAACTTGCACTTCCCTGCGGGTTTTCGGCTCCTGGTTCTGTATGAGCGCCTTTGCCTGAGCTGGGCTTACTTCTATTCCTCTTTTATTTACGACGTGCCCAAGGAACTGCCCTGACGAAACGGCGAAGGAGCACTTGGTGGGATTCAGCTTCATATTGTATCTCTTGAGAGTATCAAAGACCTCCTGGAGGTGCTTCGGGTGGTCCTCTTTCCGTATACTCTTGACCACCATATCATTGATATAGGCTTCAACTGTATTTCCCAGCAGATTATTAAAAAGTTTATTGACAAGTCGCTGGTAGGTGGCTCCGGCATTCTTTAGACCGAATGACATCACTCTGTAGCAGTAAGTGCCCGTTTCTGTGATAAAAGTGGTTTTCTCCTCATCTTCAGGATTCATGGGAATCTGATTATAGCCGGAGTATGCGTCGAGAAATGTGAGCCTTTCATAACCCGTCGTGGCATCCACCATTTGATCAATCTTGGGCAGAGGAAAGCTATCTTTTGGGCAAGCTTTGTTAAGGTTGGTATAATCTATGCATACCCTCCATTTCCCATTCTTCTTTTGAACGACTACTACATTTGAGAGCCATTGTGGGTATTGCACCTCTCGAATGAATCCTGCTTGTAATAGTTTATTTACTTCCTCGGCTATTATGCGATTCCGTTCAGGTGCGAATCGTCGGTGCCTCTGCTTGACTAGCCTGAACTCTGGGTTAACCCTCAGACTATGGCATGAGACTGTAGGATTGATCCCCACCATGTCCGAATGATCCCAAGCAAAGACATCCGAATTGCACCGAATGACCCTGATCAATGCTTCCTTCTCTTCGGCTGTACAAGTTGAGCCAATGTACGTGATCTTCTGAGGGTCTCCGAGGACTACCTCTATAGCTTCTAGGGACTCCTCGGTAGGTGCTTCAGCTTCGGCTTCTTCTTCTGCCTTGAGATACTTGGGCAAAGGATACTGTAACTGCTATTTGATTGCGTCTTTGGGATTCGCCTCTGACTGAGGTGATTTCGACGCTTTCTTTGCTTCGTGTAGCGTTAGCATGTAACATTCTTTGGCAGCAACCTGGTCTCCCCAGAGGTCGATGACCTCCTTGCCATCCGGGGATGAACACCTCATCACTTGATGAAGTGTAGAGGGGACTCCGTTCATACGATGGATCCAACCTCTCCCCATAATGAGGTTATAAGATAGATGAATCTCTGTTACGACGAAGTTTTCCTTCAGAGTTCTTTTTGCTGCAGTAACGGATAGATCGATCACCCCAAGCAGATTCACCTTAGTACCATCAAATCCCATTAGGGGGCCGAAAGTTAGCCTGATGGACGATGGTGAAACCCCCAACTGATCAAAAGCTGTTTTTGTAATGATGTTGGCGCTACTTCCCAGATCTATTAGCACTCTCCTGATCATGTAATTCGCTACCAGGAGGCTGATGACCAAGGGGTCCTCATGTGGGCGCTGGACTCTAGAAAGATCATTGTTACCGAATCCAATGTTGATGCTGCCTGGTGCAATCGTGTTTACCGAAGACAATCTTCGTAACTTATGAGCCTCTCTCAGCCTGGATCTGTACAACTCTTCAGACTCTTCATCATCCTCTGACCTTCCGTGTATAGCATGGATAACCTTTACCTGACCACCCTCTACCCGTCGAGGGTTAACCTCCCGAGGTTTTACGTGCTCTTTCGTGGCGAGATACTCCACCAATTCTCCTCTCGGTATCATACTTTCTACCTGTCGCTGTAGGGACCTGCAGTCATTGGTGGTATGCCCATAATCTCTATGGTAGGCACAATGTTTGCTTTTGTCCCTCTGCTCCAAGGGTTGTTTCATGGGCTGAGGAGTCGCGAACCTCGTCTTATTCTCTTGGAATAGGCGCGCCAAGGTAGTACGGAGAGGGGTAAGCCTGTCCTCTGTCCTTCGCCTTTTCTCAGACGCTTGGGTGACTTGTGTGGCGGTATGAGGAACCTTCTGCATCCTTGTGCTCGCAGCTTTCTCTCGAGACTTGTTTTCCACTGTGACGAGGGTAGCGTGCTGTGCACGGTGAGCTACGTTTTCCTCCAACCGAATGTAGATTTGCGCCCTAGCGTTTAAAGTCTGCATATCCGGGGGGGAATATTTAACCAAGGATGTGTGAAACTTGGTTCCCTGGATCATTGCTAACTTAAATGTTTCGATTGCCGTAGCAGGATGGCAATCTGCTATCTCCGAGGCCTCCATGTTAAACCTGGATAAAAAATCTTGCAAAGTTTCTCCCTTCCTTTGCCTTATGGTGAAAAGGCTAGCGATACTTTTCTTTTGCTTCTTATTTCCGCAATACTGGGCTAAAAACATAGTGCACAAGGTTTCATAGTCAGGGATAGACTTGTGTGGCCTATTCCTGAACCATTCTAACTCTGCTCCGGTTAAACTGGTAGGAAAAACCTTACACATCCACGGATCGTTATGATCGTCCAGTGCCATCTTTTGCACATAATGATCGAGATGCCGAGAGGGGTCTCCTGCCCCATCGAACTGGGTGAAGGACGGCATAGTGAACTTCTTCGGCCTCTCCACCAGATACACCTCGTCAGTAAAGGGTGTCTTGACCAGGGAGTTCTTGTGCTCTCTAGCCATCTCGGCTAGTGTCTGGACTCTCAAGAGCTTCTTTTCGTCGAAGGCATCTTGTACACGTGCGCCATCTGGAATGCCATTGGACCATACCGTAAGCCTATGGCTGGACTCGGCCTGTTCGTCCTGTGTGCGATGCGAGAGATTATCCGAAGCAACCACCTCGGACCTCGTCCCTTGCTTTTGCTGAACCTCACTAGGTCGAGCCCCGTTGGGTGGTGTCTCGTTGGTTGGAGGCTCGTGACCCGGAGGTAGATTCCGGGTGGGGGTTGGTACCGCAGCATCGCCTGGTGGTGGTTGTGGCGTTAGCCTGACCATAGCCGTGTGCAGCGTATGAGTCTGCTACTGAAGCGCAGCTATCTGGGCGACACTCGTATCGTTTGCTTGCCGGAGTGTCTCAAATTGGTGCAAGAACTCTTCTCGCATCTTTTGCATCAATTCTATCTGTTGATTCATTGCTGACTCTCCGTTTGACATTCCAGACACGACTAAAGGATTTAAGTTGAAGAACAAGTGGGAGTATATTTCTATACGTTTCCCATAGACGACGCCAAAGTGTAGGTGCAAAATTTCGCTCAACCAATAATGATTGAGAAAAATAAAACAACTCACTCAAAAATAACAAAAATCAATAAGAACAATGTATAGAGAAGTGTGGAATTGCTTGATCCTTTATTGGAGGTCTTAGCCTCTATTTATATACAAAAGATTGCAAACTTATGGTAGGACTTGCGTTGCTTGCCCTCCAATTCTTTCTATATAACCATTCTTTTCTAATAGAGTTCTTTCCATTGTCGAATTTTCCATACATAAAACTTGCCTTGTATAGAACTTCCTATCAGAATTTTCCTTCTACAGTAAATCCTTCAAATGGTAGGACTTGTGCATTCTTGGGCTGAATATATTTCGATCCGGCTGGGCTTGAGTAACAGGCCGGATGTTTAATACTCATAAGCTGGGCTGATGACTTCTTGATTCGGCCTTGATGGAAGATGGAGGACAAATAACGATGGTCTTGGGCTGTAAGTACCCTCAATTTGGGCTTGAGCATGATGGGCCTTAAATGCCCTTGGAATGTAGATATGTGTGGTGGTGACGTGTGCACTTTTTATTGGGGGGAGTTTTTTTCCCTCCACAGAGTTCATTTGGAGTATTGGGTCTTTGGGGGTTTTGTTATGGTAATGGATGTGGTGGCGTTGGTGTGAAGCGGCAGTGATGATGAGCTCGATAGTGATCAAATCAGTGGGTAATTGCCCGGCGAGCACATATGGAACTGGTGATGAGCAAGGACAGAATGCTCGGCGTGCAAGGAGTGAACAACGACTGTAAGAGTCGCGATCCTGATCGGCGGGCAAAGATTGTTGACGTCTAGCTCTCGCCATCCGCATTGAAGATGCCATCGCCGGAGATGATAGTACTGTTAAGTGTTGACACTTCCCTTTCTTTCCTTTTTTCATTTGTACAGTATACGGTGTTACTATCATCTGCATTAGTTTACAACAGAGATAAGTTTATCAGGTTTTGCTCCTTTTTTGTTTTTTTTTTTTTTTTTTGTTGAATGGGTAAGCTATGTTTTGCTCTTTTTATTGCGTGTGATAGCATGTATTTATGTGCGGGTGCGGTGGTGGTGATGATGACGCAAAATGGTGGTGGTATTGGGGCGGGGCACTGATGGTGATGATGGTCGTTGGTAGGAGAGCTTGCTCTCTCTTGACAGATTTGGTGCAAAATTAAAGGGTATTTTAGTTTTTTTAGCTTTATATACAATTTATTGATAAATATTAGGGATAATTTCACTGACATCCCTAATAGTTTGGCCAAATATCAGTTTAAAATATCTTTCGAAAATAATTATCAGTTAGGTCCAATTTCGGTTGTCCGTTACGGTCTCCATTAAAAACGTGTGAAAAGACATGTTTACCCCTAATTTTTTAATCACATTTAATTACAAATTATATATATATATATATATATATATATGTCTCATATATATATATATATATATGAGCGGATCTGACCAAATTGATGCGTTCATAGAACTTGCCTGTCTGCGGCATCGGCAACAATCGGCAATCTGGGTAGCTGACCCAACAAGCAAGAAGATGAGCCATATATCAAACACACCAGAAGGAACAAAAACACAGTGCTGTCTAAGCTCATCAACAAATCCAAACCCAACCCATCTCTTGGATTGAAGCTCCTCTCCAGAAGATCAGGGAAAATCAACAACACATCAAGAACTATAGCTTGCATAGTGTTGAACCTCACATATTTACTAAAATTAGGGTTTAGGATTTCGATATAGAAGGAAGAAGAAGAAGCAGAATAACAAGAGGGTCGAGTGGATCGCGGCAGAGGAGTGGTGGTGGCAACAAATTCATCCGAGCTGGAACTGGAAGCGAAGTGAGTCCGTTGCCAAGTCAACTCGGACTCGGCGTGAGTGAACTTCTTGACACCATCATTGCCATTCTCTGCAACCCCTTTAATCAACTGGTTGTTCTCTTCGTTATGGGTGGTTTGTTGTGAGGCCAATAATTTACGAGCGAGCTTCTCCGCGGATCGAAGATCGATGGGTTTGGGAGGGTCTAAGAGAAAATTTTCACACTAGTTGAGGATGATGGATTTGAGGGCGAGATTGGGAATGAGATTGGAGAAATCAGGGGTAGAGCTGTCAGAGAGAATGGGTTTGAACCCTAAAGCCTTGCAGGCTTGAACACAATTACGCTTGAAGGTTTGGTCAGAGGAGACGATGACAGGGTTGGCCATTAACGACCCAGAAATTGGGCAGATAAACTCTTTGGGAGGCTGTTTTTTGATGGACGACGGAGAGCGATGAAATGAGATCTTCCACCTCTGCTTGCCAGTTCTCACCTCTCTTTAAAATGTAAAGGGTTTATATTAAATTAGCATACTTTAAATAATTTCAATGGATTTTCTTGCATTCCATAGCTTGAGGAGAATCAGACGTGGGTTGTGGGCAAGGGAAAACATGACGAATGGTCTGCTGAATCGCTACCGTTGGATTGGGCAGTTTTGAGCCTTCAGGGTTTGGTTGTGCAATTTGTTAGAGAGAGAATGGATGGGTTTCTGAGGTTGAGAGAGAGAGGTAAGGCTGTGTACAGGGGTTGTTTGTAGGAGAAGGTGGGAGGAGTTGATAGAAGATTAGACAGAGTTATAGTGTACAGTGAAGATGAGGGGAGAGAGAGAGTCAGAGATAGATACAGAGAGAGGGAGGGAGAAGAGCATCAGCTGAGAAAGAATATCTGAAGTAGAATTTTGGAAGATATTCGCCATCCGCGGCCCAATGGTCGCCGGAACTGAGGAACAATGATGGTCTTTAAAGGTTAGAGAAGTGTAAAACATGTAAGGGGTATAAAAGTCTACCATTATAAGGGTAAATATGTCATTTCAATCATTAAAAAAATAATTAAATAGGTCAAACCAAAGTCAAAGGGTAAGAATGTCTTTTTACATATAAAAAGTGGTCTGACACACCTGTCAACTAACTTTTGGGGTGTGAGTGAAAAATGGAGTAAACGTTTGTAATGTGAGTGATAGTTATTTTCGAAAGATGTTTTAGATTGATATTTGGCCAAACTACTGGGGGTGTCAATGAAATTATCCCTAAATATTAATATAGAGTTGATGGGCAAAATTAAAATCACATAACTCCGTTAATAAAGTAGGCAGTCGTCAAATACAGGGGAGGTAGATGGAATAATGAAACCTGGAGGGAGTGTAAGTGGGATATGGTCAAAGGTCAGTAGGTGTAGTTGGAATTAACACATGATTTTTTAACTACTAATTCTATTATGAGAGTTTTCTCTCTATGTTTCTCAAATGTTTGTCATAAATAGGGTTGCAAACGAGCCAACCCGTTCGCGAATTGCTCGGGATCGACTCGTGAATTACTCGGCTCAATTCATAAACGAGCCGAGCTAGAACATCAGTAAGCTCAACTCGTTTGTTCATGAACCGCTCATAAACTGAGCTCGATAATGTGTTCGCGAACGTACTCGATTATAATATATATATATATATATATATATATATACACACACACACATACATACATACCCAATTATAATATATACAAAAGTTGGGGTCAGATTGTAATTGTATGTAGCACATTTATATGTAGATACATATTTATGTTGGGGTCATATTGTAATTGTATATAGAGTTTGTGGTTATTATGTAAATACACCTTTCTTGTCTTTGTATATAAACCATTTTATGTTATGTTTAAGGTTGATAGAATATGCCTATGCGCCTCCATCTCAGCCTCCATCTCAATATGTTCTCTCTCTCTCATCATTGACCAGTGACCACCAACGATCCCCAACCATCAACAAAGAACGGTCTCACTCCCTCATCTACCCTCTCTTCTACCTTCGGCATCCATTCCATCTATCACCGGTGGCTTCACCGCCTTCGCCCATCACCACTCAACCTCCTTTTTCCAACCATTCTATCTCCCGCTGTCTGCTCCCTCCCGATCTCGCCGTCTCTGTCTTTTTTGGTGACCAAGGCGATCCCTTATCGGTCATCACCGTTGTGCCGGGTTCTAGCACTGAGAGTTGTCGCCGACGAGCTATTGAGCTCCAGCTCGAAACTCGTCAAACATAGCCTGAGCCGAGCTCAAACTATATTTTCTAGGCTCGACTCGAGCTCAAGCTCAAGCTGAGGTTGAGCAACCTATTATCTAACCGAGCCGAGCTCGAGCACACCATTACTCAGCTCGACTCGGCTCATTTATAGTCCTAGTCATAAAGTAGTTTTGCTCGTATCTTATATTATAATAATATATTATATTACAATATATACTATTATTGTTTTTCAAAAAAAGAAATGGATAAAATTATAATCAAATTCTGACTATTACAGAGATTGTAATTAAATGAGCTCCTATAACAATAATATATAGTATGAACTGAGGTGACAATTAAGATTGTAATTAAGAAGTGTTCTTGTTGGACATGAGATGAGATGAGTCTCACGTAATGCAATCTTATCATTGTTTACTTCGCATTATTGTTTTATTGGTGTAATGGGTTGTGGGTGGTGATTGAAGGCTGGGGGTGGTGTTGGTGGTTCAGAGGGAGGATAAAAAGGCCAAAAATGAAAAGAAAAGAAAAAAATTCAAATGGTGGTGGTGGCCGGGTCTGCAGGGACCTGGTGCTGGTTCATATAGAGAGAGGCCAAAAAAAAAAAAACATCTAAACTAAGACTAACTGTGACCGACATATACTGAAATAGGTATTTGACTGGTCAAACCGTGAGAGCTCCATTAGTGCACCAGAGATACGAATCCATCCGAGCTATATACTTAGTTACATAACTTACATACATATACAGGGACTCAACTAAGACTGAAGATGTGCTACAGAGTGGAATATGAAGGGCATAATTGGAATTAAAAAAAAACACACATTCAGTTTTGTAAAATAATATTAAACTATGGAGGTTATTTTTATCATTTTGCAATAATTTAACTGTTTCGTCACAAAATGGGGCAAGTGATAGTTTTTATTAGTTCAAGGGGTTGTTTGATAATTAAGGAGATTATATGAAAATTTTAAAAACAACAGAGAGAGTTTTTGTGATTTTAACCCTATATATATATATATATATATATATATATATATATATATATATATATTTTGGGTAATGTTTATGTTGTCCATATTTCTTAGAGAATATTTGCATATAAGTTAGCTAACCATGCTAGGAATAGTGCTTTATAGAACCGACATCCATAACAATATTCAGTTCGAGGTGTTTATAGGCATGTTTGTAAATTTGATATTAACAAAAATTTCTGTCTGGAAAAAAAAATTTCTTTACATTCTGTTTTCAATATGGTAAAATATTAATTAGGTCATCCATGCAAAAGTCAGAGATCTCTTAATGAAAAAAAAAAAAAAAAAAAAAAAAAAAAAAAAAAAATCCTCCATTTCACATTGATATACGGAGTATTATTTAGATTTATGGAAGCATATCATTTGAGGTGTTTTTAGATATGTTAGGGCTTGTTTGGTACGTGTTTTTATCTCAACTCGAAAATAAAACATTTTTGTTATAGAATGTTTTAGAAAGTAATCGAAATCATCTTTGATAACGTTCATTTGTTATAAGATTTTTGAAAGCAAAAACTTAAGAACATGTTTGGTAAAAAAAATGTTGCAAGTTTAAAAAATATAATGGTTAGTTTGAAAATGTTATTTAAAAGTTTTTTTTTTAAAAAGAATTTACTGTTCATCGCTTTAACGTTTTTACCGTGCTGAAACATGTAACAGGAAACGTTTTGACACTATGCAAAACAAAACATTTTTTTACCAAACTTGATTTTTTAACTCTTCACTGTTATATTACTCGGCAAAAACAATAACACTAAAAACAAAATGCACGTATACTTGCAACAACGGTTTGGCATGTGGAAAAATAATAACACCAAAAACAAAATGCACATATACTGTAACAACCGTTTGGCATGCGATAACCGTTTGGCATGCGATGTGTTTTAGGCGTTATGTTTTTTGTCAATACCACAACAACCATTTTGTTGTAAGAGTGTTTTGGATAGAAATCGAAATTATGTTCCGCTATAATATCAAAACACACGATATCACCAATTTGGTAATATAGATTTGAGTCAAAAAATTATGAAAA